TAGCTAATAATTTATATCATATGATATATATCACATGATCTAAAAATAGATCGCCTCAAATTTAAAGCTAGTTTTTTATTTATTTTAATTTTTTAATTTATTCAAAAAAATTTTTTAGTCTCAGAGCCCCATTTTCCTAGCAAACCTCACATATTGCAAGATTTGTACTAGTTTATTAAATTATAGTTTTTCTATTCTTAATACATTTTTATATTTATGTATCATCATATAAAAATGAGATTTTATATCATTAATATTTAGATTTAATAAAATTATATGATTGAAAAACAAGATAAAAATAAAAAAACAAAGTGAGAAGAGCTACTTTTATTAGTTTATAGTTATTATTATCTAGTTTGTTTAGGTTAAATTTATTTTTAAAATAATCACTATTTTTTCTATTATTAATTAGAATAAAGTATAGTCAGCATCATATTTAATTGATATGACTGTTTAAAATTTAAAAATGGAGCAGATCAACTAGGTATTTATCTATTCAATTCTTATCATTTTTTAATTGGTCAAAATATTTTCATGAAAATTGGATCAAATCAATGTGAAACAGAATTGAATAGAGCTATTATTTTAAAAACAAATATTTCAATGATAAAGGCCTTTTATTAAATAATGTAAACTCTCAAATTTACAAAAAGGTGAAAATTTAGAATTATGTTTTACAGTTTATAAATGAAATGTTATTAAAGAAACTAAATTTTTAAGTAATAAAAAATATCCAACTATAGGTTTTAATTATCCAAGTATATGCAATTTAAGAAAAATACTTGAAACAGATTTTATTTTATTTGAATGTAATAATGCAATTGATTGTTGAGATAAAATCTTAGAAAATTTAATTGCTAGATGAGAATTTCCTTAAGATTTATATTTAAAAGGATCATTTTTTGATTCTCATTTTAAAAGTATTGTTTATTAATCTCAAAAAAAAAGCAATAGATTTATAAATAAATTAAAAGCAGAATTTTGAAATCTTTAAACAAAATAATATTACTGTTATAATAAATATATAAATGATTTAACAACAATGAAACAATGAAAAGTTTTGGAAAAAAAAAATGCTAAAATTGATACTCTAATAAGTGATGATTCCAACATTATCTTAAAGTTTTAACCAATGCCCAATATTACACAAAATAGTAATAAAATATCATTTTATACTTGCAACATCAGAAAGACTTTTTTCTGATGCTAAAAATTTAATAACTTTTCAAAGAATTCATTTGGATTCATTTCTTATATATCAACATATGTTTTTAAAAAGAAATAGGATATTTGTTAAAATATTTGGGATGGAAACTGAATTAGATATCTAATATCTTAACCATAAAATTTGTAAAGATTCAAATTTTTTTTATATTTTAACTTTTATTTTCTTAACAAATTTTTTTTTTTTATAAATAAAATATTTTGAACAATTTAATTATTAAATTCCGATTAAAACTTATAATAAAAAAATTGTTTTTGCAAAAAATAAATACGATTATATCGATTAATTCAAATCGAAAATCAAATCTTTTAATCGAAACTCGAGATTAATCGATTCTTTAATCGATTCTACTTTTTAGAATCGATTCCAATCCCTACTTCTTACAATCATAATTTCTAGTGATGTTTTAGAACGTTAAATCAATGGCTGTATTACAATTCATTTAGTCTACTTTCAATAGATCCTTCTCCTTTAAAAAAGGTTTTGCCTTTTTGAGAAACAATTTTTGGCACCGATCTTAATTAACACTAGATTTTTCACCCCCACGTGATATAGTAAATTATTTAAAATATTTGTCGCACGTCACTCCGTCACACCACTTTTCCATTTGGAAATATTTGTCACGCCCTTATTTGCCACGAGGTAAATTTAATAATGCCGTAATGCTGGCCAAAGTCACGTGGTGGTGAAAAACTTGTAGCGATACTTGGTTAAATTATGTAATTTAGTGCTGATAAATAGTTGTTTATAATTTTTAAGACTTTAACTCGATATTTCTGATAAAAATGATTGATAGTAAGTATAATAATTCAATACGCGTTACGTAATAATATAAACTAAACAAACAATTTTTTTATGTATCTTACAAAATTTCTTACAAAATTTTCTCGTTGCATACTTAAAATCTACGATGTCTTTTGCAGGTACTTTCTCATACTTAAATAACATTATTTATGGAGTAACAATTAACGCCAATATGGATCTCCGGATCGAAAAACTTGGACATATATCGGGAATTGCAAAAGTCTACTTTACTGACGCGACCGTAAATTTTCAAAAATTATAATCTATACTGCAAACTAACTTTTCGTTTTATTTATTTTATCGATAGTTGCCCCTTCGTACAAGCAACCCTATACCTCCTCCACCTGGGTTTGCAATGGTGGATTCAATGTACAAAAATAATATAGCTCCAGAGAATTATGGAGTACCATTCTTCCTTATTGCGGAATCACGAGGATACGATATGTCGTTAAATGGGCAACCCATTTTCTCTTTAAGAACACAAATACAAGAATGTACAATTCTTAGGGCTGGAATATCACATTTTACGATACCATGACAGACATAAATTTTTTAAAAAAATTAACATTTTTATTATATTAACTTATTATATTTTCTTTATTTGCTATAATAAAGAATTTGAATTAATATTACCATTATTTTTTTTAATTTACCAAACAATGATGAGTTTAAACGAGAAAGTACTTGACCTATAAATCATAAAATGGGAGTTCTCTCCCGCTAACCTAAACTTTCTGATTCTTTAATACACAGACAGATGTTAAAATGATTGATACTTCAGAGGAAAGTAATAAGGTTCCTAAAGTTCAAGAATAACAAGTACAAGACATTATGTTATATATTGATGAGCGCAATAAAGAATATCTAGAACAATGTACAATTTAAGTGATTCTGGAGATGAGGGTTTATTTTGTGAGATGTATTTTTTAATCATAATTTTTCTTCCTGAATATTTTCTTTTTTGTAATGGTTTCCTTTATTTTGTTTTATTTATGTTTACAACTATGTTATGGAAAAATTTAATGATGAATAAAACAAAATTAACATTTCGAATTGTATATATGATTAGCAAAATTCTAAATAACATTTCAAAATTTCTATTTTTATGATTCGTATATAATAATTATAATAATTAGTTCAATAATTTAAAATTTACTTTTATACTAATACTCTATTGAAATTATTCTACTCTCCAAATTATAAACAAGTTCTAGAATTAGCAAAGAAGGTTTAGTAAAGACCTTGTAACATGCAGTAATATTTTTTTTTTCAAGGAAAAAAAAAATAAATAAACTCGCAACGTATTTAAAGCTTTCACATAAGAAGGTAAAACGCATACAAATCAAGTTACAATCATCCTTCAATAATCAAACTCTTCTATAGAATCACCAACCGCATGATATTGATGAACTTTTAAAATTTAATTCAGACAAGTTTATAGTACTTATACATGTTTGTATAACAAACTGTTTTCGTATGGAATCACTTATTCTTACGTAACTACAATTATTTCAAATATAAAGGTATGGGTGGAGATGAAAACTGTGCTGCAATTCGAGCAAATTCCTGAACAATGTGGATTATTTTATTTTGAAGTTGACTTTATAGATAAAAGGAAAAATGGGTGTGTTGTAAAACTTTAATACAGCTTTTTTCTGTTATATAAAAGGTGATTATTTAAAATTTGCCGAAAATTCTATTTTTCAAATTCCATAGGAAGGTGAATAGGGTTTTGCACAAAATCAGCTAGTCCAAATAAAAAGCCACCTTTTCGTTAAATGAATTATTTTATTGTAGGCTGGTATTATGGTGATAATGGAAATACGTATTTCAACTTTATTTTTTCAACCAATTTGGATATGGACCAAATTTTATGCCCGGTGATACTATCGGTTATTGTTTAAACATTAGAATAATACGGTATTTTATACCAAAAATGGCGTGAATTAGGTGAAATCATATAGATTAAGGAATATAAACAGACCATTGTATAAAGGTCTCTGATATATGTTTTCATCTTTGCTTTTCTGATTCAAAGATTTTCCATTTTACATGCATTATTTTGAACTTCTTCTTATCAAATAAGATATAATAAATATTATTTTTTTTTATTGTAATTAACTATTTTTTGATATATAATTCAATAGTTATTATATATATATATCTAAGTCTTATAAATAGTATACTATTTCTTTGATATTAATAGCAGAGTTTAATAGCATTAATAAATGAAAATTTGTATAAAGATTTGACTTTTTACAATATGAACACTTTGCAGTAAATGTATAAATTTCTAAAAATTAAAATTTTATTTTATAAGCTAAATAAAAATTTTTTAGTAAATGAGATTTAACATTAACTAACAATTAAAAATGTTGCAAATATTTCCTAAAGAATGACCATATCATTTCTTGTATCGTGTGCAAAAAAAGACTGGCTGGTTTTAATTAAACATTCAAAAAGTCACGGGACTACCGATCATTTTTTCCGGTAAATTTTTTTGGAGAAAGTTTTTCGGAATCAAAGTCGAAGCAATATGGTACATTTAGATCATCTTTTAAAAGACACTCTAACCGACTATTTGACTCATCACTCTGAAACTCGCAAGTCTTTTGGATGAAATTAAAAGAATGGGGATATTCTGGAATCTATCACGTGTAGATAACTCTAAATTTTATTTGTTATTTTTATATTTGGATTGTTCCAGTCAGTGTATGATTTTTTAATGCGACACACATAAATTTTGTAAAAATGTGCGAATTTCCGCACAATCATAATTATTGGTATTATACACAAAAAAAAAAAATTTAATATGGCAAATACTATAATAATTTTTGCTTATTTTATCATATGAGTTTATTTAAAGAAGAAAGGTTTACCCTGATAAGTTTAACGTATTTACTATGAAATTTTATGGAATTACTTTTTTTGATCATGAAGTGTTTTTTTTTTTAATAAAATTTTATAAGTAATTAAACATAATATTGCTGACGATCTTTTTTTTATTATTTATTTAATGAACTTCACCGTGACATTGCCATAAGAAAAACGCCCAAACTTTTAGTTTCGTTTTAAAATGAAAAATGAAAATTCTGTTAGTTATTGTTTCTATAATCTTTTCCCATGGTATTTTTTCGCAGCAATGGGAATTTTCACAATCGTGGAAATATTTAAGATCATTGACTAGCCAATCATCTGCTATTTACACTATCCAAAAGGTTAAAAAACAAAAAATTCAAAAGTTTTAAAAAAAAAGATAACCTTTTTAATCATTGGTTTGATTAACCTTATTCATCATATGTTTTGAAATATTTGTTACTTATAATGGGTGGTCCATGAGAGAAAATATAAATTTTAACTTGCCCAATTTGTTTATTTGCTTCATTCATTAAAAATAGTAAATGTGTATATATATATCATATGTATGTAGAAAGAGATATATATACACGCGCACCACCCCAAAAAAAATACCACATCCTAAATCAAAAAATAATTGATGATGAGCGAACAAGAAATCAAAGCTAACGTAATGGATCGTCTTTCCAAGTTTACGGATCTCATTAAGGCTATTCGTAGACCTCCTCCACCTGAACAAGGTGATGGTGTGTTGGATAAACCTCTCACTAGTTCAGAAGTTAGCGACAGCCTCATCAAGGATATCGAAGCCTTGGGACTTAAAGAATCCGTCGAAGATATCGTTTTTACCATCAAATTGCTCGCCTTGGGTACTAAACCGTTGGATGATTCCCAATTCCAGGTAATTTAAAATTTTAACTTCTTGAATTCAAAAATCGCTCTAAAAATTTTCTTCCCTTATAATTATAGTTGGAAAGGATAGTTCGGATTTTGTCAAAACTTCCATCAAACAGTAATCTCTTGCATGAAGTAGAGAAACTTTTAATATCGGTTTTATGGTCAGATATTTCCAAACCACCGAATATGTGGGCAAATGATTTTTATCGTTCAGCAGATGGTTCAAACTATTCACGCGTATACCCTGGGATTGGAAAATCCTATTCACATTATTCAAGAAATGTTCGTATCGATCGCCCACCGCTTTTGAACGTTCCCGATCCGGAAACTTTATTTGACACTTTAATGGTTCGAAAAGGATTCAAACCTCATCCTTCATCAATTAGTTCAATGTTATTTTACCTAGCAACTATTATCACACACGATCTCTTTGATTCTTCACCGAATGAACCACACATAAATCAATCATCATCTTACTTAGACTTGTCACCACTTTATGGTAGAAACTTGGACGAACAAATGAGAGTCAGACAAGGACGCCTTGGTCTTTTAAAACCTGATACTTTTTCTGACCTGAGAATCATTTTACAACCTCCCGGTGTTTGCTGTTTATTGGTTCTATTCTCGCGTAACCACAACTATATAGCTAAACGTCTCTTACAAATTAACGAAAATGGACGATTCAGTGTTAAAGATCCAAACGACCCAGAGGAACTTAAAATTCAAGACGAAAATCTATTCCAAACAGCAAGATTGGTCAATGGCGGTCTCTATCTACATACCATTCTTCATGATTACTTGCATACTATTCTTGGTCTTAATAAGACTAATTCCGAATGGTATCTCGATCCCACTTCAAATTTTCCAAAGGACACCTTGACTAACCCAACTCCAACTGGCATGGGTAATCAGATAGCTCTTGAATTTAATTACATCTACAGATGGCACCCAGCAATCTCCAAAGATGATGAAACATGGATTGATGACCAGTTCAAGAGAATATTGGGTAAAGATTACCCTAAGGAAGGAGAAGAGGTTAGTTAATTTGCGTTGACTTTTGATGATGCAAAAAAAAAAAGTTGGAGAGGAAATGGTGGCTAATTATTTTCTTGGTTACGTTTACTTAGATACCGGTTCCGGTATTTACACAAAGATTGAAGGAATGGCGTGAATCGTTACCATCAGAACCGGAAAAACGAACCTTTGGAGGTTTGGAACGCATTAAAGAAGGTGAACTTAAAGGCACTTTCCGTGATACTGATCTAGTCAAGGAATTGGTTCATGCCACAGATCAAGTAGCAGGTGAGAATCCGTCTTATATTGTTTATATTATGCATTTGATATGCATTCTACTGTTCTCATCTTAATCATCACCATCATCATCATCAATTTTATTTTTTAAAAAAAAAAATAAATAAATAAAAGGTTCATTTGGAGCTAATGGAGTTCCTCGAATACTCCGTGTGATTGAAATCCTTGGAATTAAGTCAGCTCGTAAAATGGGCGTTTGTAGTTTAAACGAATTGCGTAGTTTCCTCAATTTGGAACCTTACAAATCTTTTGAAGACATGAACCCCGATGAAGAAGTTGCTAAAAGTCTTCGTTTACTATATGGTCATGTTGATAATGTAGAATTATATCCTGGTGTCATTGTCGAAAAGACAAAACCGCCAATGATAGGATCTGGCATTTGTATAAATTATACCATCAGTCGAACGATTCTATCGGATGCTGTGAATCTCGTCCGTAATGATCGTTTCAACTCAGACGAACTTAATCCGCATAACTTGACCAATTGGGGTTACAATGATATACAGTCTGATCCGAAAATTTCTGAAGGAAATCTTTTATATAGGCTCCTTTTGCGTAACACTCAAGGATGTTATAAGCCGAATTCTGTCTATGCAATGTTCCCATTCGTCGTCCCGGCCCAAACAAAAAAATATCTTGAAACAAAAGGAACTGTTGATCAATATGACTATAGCACACCGGCTGTTACCGAACAAGAACAACAAAAGACTCATGTTGTGCGCAGTTACCGTGCATGTCACGAAATCCTTTCAAACAAGGATGCCTTTAACGTGGTCTATGACCCAAAGATGAAGCTTCTTATGCGTGGTGTTGGGTACTTCCTTGGTTTCGATGATACAAATGCTCATGATCGAGATCGAACTCGTTTGGACAAAGCCTTTTATCCTAAGGACAGTGACAAGTTTTTCTCTGGCATCAGACAATTCTTCTTGAAAACCACACAAGACTTGATTGATAAAAAGAAGATAACATTCGATGGTAAAACTTACCAGATTAATGCGGTCCGAGATGTTTGCAATCTTGCACCCGTACATTTTGTATCAGAATACTTTGGTGTTCCTTTGAAAACTCAAGAATCACCTCACGGCGTCTACACAGAACAAGAAGTTTATTTCCAACTTACCATTATATTTATGTATATCTTCGTTGATACTGATCCTGCAGATAGTTTCAAGCTCTCACAAACTGCCAAGGGAGCCTCGGAGCATTTGCATGATGTCATGCAAAAAATTGTCGAAATAGTTAGCGGTGGATCAACATTAATTGAAAAAGCCGCCGATTCTCTTATCGGTGCTGATGTGAAAGTGTCACCTCAAGCTGAACAGTTGATTAAAATATTAATGAGTCAATACAAAGACTCAAACTTAGCTACTTGGAATATAATCGGTACAATCTCCGGTGCTGTCGCAATTTTAGGTGAAGCGGCGTCTTTGGTTGTTGAATTCTACTTACGTCCAGAAAACAAGTCACATTTGGAAGAGATTCGAAAATTAGCTGAAAAGTCTGACGAAGAGTCGGAAAAATTGATACTTGGATACGTTCTTGAAGCGTTAAGATTTAATCCTAGCATTCCTGGCCTCTTCCGTCGTGCTACTGAATCTATCAGCGTTGATAACGGATCCGAGAAATTCAACAAGGATGAATTAATCTTCCTTTCTTTAAGTTCAGCTCATATGGATCCCTCAGTCTTCCCAGAGCCAGACAAGATTAACCCGCGTCGTCCATCTGATTCATATTTAACTTTTGGATACGGATTTCATAGGTGTTTTGCGAAACCAGTCAACTTTATTGCCATTCCGACAATTGTCAAGACCATTCTCAAGCTCAAAAACCTTCAACGCGCTTCTGGCAGAGCTGGTCAGATCAATCAAATTAAAGATGATGCATCTGATTATATTTCTTCTCAAGGCACCATTTTTTCATTCCCAACTGATATGGTACTTAACTTTACGAACTGAATCCGAATTTCATAAATCACATAGTTGAGGCCTTTTTATAAAATTTTTAATTTGTTGACTTAATAATTAAATTAATATTATATTGTAACTAAATTAAACAATAAAACATTATTATTTTACGAAAAAGACTTTCTGTTATAATTAATAATATTGTCCTAAATGTTGATAGCCTATGATTGTTCCGAAACCAAACAAGAAAGATTTACGATTCCACCATGTAACTATAAAACCTATAAATTAATTGCAGCCTTTTACCAAGACTTGTTCTTACAAAGAAAAACTTTTGACCAAAAAGGCCGAGCTAATCGAATTTACCGCAGATAGTCGATTAATCAAGGACTGCTGAATTTTTTTACTGCTCCAATAGAACGTTTGATTACGATATTCTTGAATATCAAGAAAAGCGAAAATTTATATGGAACATAAAAAGAAGCGGAAAATTCGATTAGCAATTCTTCTATATGTCACCTTGTTATTTATTACTTTGTAGAACGTCGTTACGAAGGAAATCAACAATTTGTTACAGTAAATTTGACTTTGGTTGATCTTTTACTTGTAAGTACAATGAACTAACCGAACTTGGGGGATCGGCAAATGATCAAATTCGAAATTCTTCGGAAACCGGGACACAAGACTAACGAAAGAGAACAATCACGTATCGACTCAAATAACATCTCGAGTCAATAATTTTACACGGGGACAGTCAATTTTACATTTTATATGCCTATTAAATCTCCACTCCATTCATTCAATTCAAGTGTAATATTAAATAGAGACGTGTAATATTTTATAAATAATTATTACCCTTCTACAAGATAATATCCCTATAAAAAATGCCACTTCAGAATGCTTCCATTATATCTCTGTAATTATATTTGAGTCCGTAAATGTTCAGTGTATATTATAGGCGCGAAAATTGATGAATATGCAATCCGGATCTTTCCATCCAAATAGCTTAACGCATCAAGTTGTTCATTACGAGCTATTTTGATAGTATTTCGACATTTTTACCTTTTTAATTCAAAAATTCCTCATAATTGCGAGTAGAATGACACCCTTTACAAATTTTGTTTTGTTGATTTGACGTAATGGCGTAGCAAAAATATATATTTTTCATAAAATTTATGATCCTTTGTAAAATAAATAAAACTTGAGATTGTGTTGTTATGAAAGGGGCATGAAAAAAAAATTTTTTAGAACATAACGCTTAAAAAAACTTGAAACAATTATTAATCTTAACTACCGAAAATCATTTCCGAAGTCACGTGTTACCCGGTAAAAACTAATTTTTGAATGCCCGGTCATTCCGTGTCATTTAGCCTTTGAAATAATTTGGGTTATTTGCTCAGTAGGTTTATAATATGATAAAATTTCGTACAAGTATATTCACTATTATCATTATACTCCGAAAGTAATATGATCTACATATTTTTTCCAAAATTTTTATCGGAAATCTGATCTTTGAACTTTATTTTTGAATTAAACTTTTTGTTTGATTCGTGTATAACATCAAATCACGAACACCATAGAGTAAATGGTAATTGCAAATTTGCAAGTTGGGAGGTGAGTTTTAAGAAATTGGTCTAGGAGTATAATTTATAATGTAATAGTCTAAATTTACCATCAAATTCATTATGTCATTATTATTTCATTGCTGCATCATTATTTGATTACGAAAATTGCTTGGCGCAGTAAGTGAATGGCATATCGTTCCAAGCTTTTTTGTTTCAATTCATTGGACTTTTGTTTTGTCGTCCAATTCCAATTTGGTCCAAGTTGATTTTTAAGTGGGAAATTTTCGAGAGTTTATTTTTTTGAACAATCATACCTGAAACCGGTTTTAAGCTAAAAAAAAATTTGCCAACCCTTAAATGGTGATTTTAAGTTTATTTTCAAATATAAAAAATATATAAATATCAAAATGACAATTTATATTATAATAAAATCACAAGAATTTTCTTAAAATATAATTTTGTTATGTAAAATAATTTGTTTTAAACAGTTAAGTTCCATATTATAAATGACCTAGTCATGGGTCATTTAGCTTTTAAAATGACCTAATGACTAGTCAAATTAATTTAGGTCATTTAGGCCTTAAATGGCATAATTTGTTTTTACTGCATAAAAAATAAACACATAAATCAATGGTCCCTGTTACAAAGATCTTAATCACGTCAACGTAAATAAAAACTTTAATAAAATGATTCTGGAAATCGAACCATAATTGACAAACAAAATAAATCATTTGTGTGGCTGCAAATATTCTTTTGGAATGATAAATATCCTTTGTGAAATGAAAATATCATGTGTATTTGGCTTCTCAGCTCAATAGGATTGTATAAAGGTTATACTTCATATTTGCCATCAGGATATTCATTAATGATAATTTAACCGAGTTCTTTTCTTATATATATCACCAATTTTTTTTTATATTGGAATTGGAAATTTCAATAAAATGTTTTTTGCAACCATTTTGGTTTTTTATCTTATATAGCTTACAAAATTTATCAATCATTAAAAATACCCGAAGGACTTAAAGATGTACCAACAATAAGTTAAGTTATTTGGATTTTTTAAATCTATGTTCTCTGACAAACGTTGGGAAGATTCACGACAAGTTATTGAGAAAGATGGAATTGGAAAAGTAACCAATCTTATCATTCTTGTACGATTTATTAATTTTAAAAGAAAATTTACTAAAAACGAAATAAATAAATAAATTATAGTTTTGGTTCAATGGAGAATGGTATGTCGTTACTACCGATTCGGAACTTATAAAAGATGTATTTGCGAAAACAGTTTTTTTTTTTTTTTTATTTTTTTTTTTGATTCCTTATTTTGTTTAAACATTATAATTTGAATTAGATTTGTATCCTAAAGCATCGCTCGAAGAAGCGTTTCCCGGATCTTTAATGGCTAGTTACTACGGAACAAACGTAGTATTTTCCAACGGAGATGTAAGTACATTTGAAATATCTCTAAATATAACATATTCTTTGACTGACATTCGAATGCCTTATTGATATATAGGTTTGGAAGCGTCATCGGTGAGTATCGTCAATTTCATTTATCATAAATAGATTATAGAATTAATTTTTCTTTATATTCTAGGTTTATTACAAATCCTGCGTTTAAAAGTATGCCCATGCAATTATTTGATGAAATTACTGTGAAATTGCTGAAGGTCGTCGAAAAAGTTGATAATGAACCCACCCATAGAGGTAAAAGGACTTATGGATAGGTAAATAATCTCATATTTTTTTTCTGTAATTAGGACGAAAGTTTTTAATTTATGAACTATTTGAACTATTTATTATAGACTGATTTAGACGTACTTATAAGAATTGCTTTCAGATTTGATTTTAATGTAAGATACTTTTTTTTTAAAAAAAAAAAATAAAAAAATGATTAAATAATTTATATTAATAGAACCTTGAAGATCCCATATCATGAAATAACAGAGGAATGTAATAAACCAAATATTTTATTATCCCATTCATTGAATACATCCCATATTTTAATCGTACTGAAGCACGTAAAAAAGCCGCAAATATGAATAATTTATTTAACGGTCTTATTGAAAAGAAACGTAAATCAATGGAAACGGATGAATTGAGTAAAAAAAAAGACAATAATTCAGCTGATTTATTAGAACTTTTCTAACAATCCAAAATATCCCATGTCAGACGAAGAAATGCGAGTAAGTATCATAATTTGTTATAAACCATGATCTTTTTGAATTTATAGCATAATCTTGCAATATTTATGTTAGCTGGACATGAGACTAGTAAGAGAACTTTTTAATAATTTATAATTATTAAATAATTATTTAAATTTAAACCTTCATTTCTGAAATAATTAAATTAGCTGCAACTGTTTTGACAACCGTATTATATGTCTTAGCAACCCACAAGGTATTTCAAATATTATTTTTTTTGTTATTAATTTGGATTTATCTTTATTCAATAAGGATATTCAAAGCAAAGTTCGTGAGGAATTATTATGCGTTCTTGGAGATAATTTAATCCCGACCACCGAACAACAAAGAGAATTAAAATATATGAACATGGTTTTACACGAAAACTTAAGATTGTATCCTCCGGTATGTATTTTTTAAGCTTTCAAATTTTTGTAACTTGTCCAAGTTTATTTTATATTAAATAATATGTAATTTTTTTTAATTAAAGGTTCATCAATTACCACGAAGAGAAAATTCAGAGATTATTAATTTTCGAAATCATACATTTTTGTCAAAAATATCCATAATAGTTAATATTTATGGAATTCATCATTCACCAAAATATTGGAAGAATCCTGAAGAATTTATTCCTGAAAGATTTGAGAATGAACATGATGAAAAATGACGAGATCAACATACTTGGTTACCTTTTGGTGGTGGTTCAAGAACGTAAGTCAAAGACTTTTTTTTTGATTTTGGTTGGGTGTATAACTAATTTATTGTTATTATTATTATTAAATAGATGTATAGGTAATAATGTAACACTTATTGAAGAAAGAGTGATGTTGTGTACTTTATGTAAGTTGTCTATAAAATCTTTTTATATCAATTTTTTTTATTTTCTCTATTTAGTGAGAAAATATGAGGTGTCTTTACCAGCAGATAGTATTCATAAAGATAAACTACATCTTGATCAATTTAATATTATATTTACGAGATTGCAGCCATTACACTTAATATTTAAAAGGAGAACAAATTAAATAAGCATTATTATGGCGCTTTGCGAGAAAGACCAAGAAACGTTTTTGCATAATATAAATTTTTTCCAGAAGATTTCCGCCCTTTTTATTGCAAAGATTTTATTTCAATATCAAATGTATTATATTCTTATTTTGTTGTAATGTTAGTTCATATAGTTTTGTATTTTTAATTGCATTGTCCATATCAAAATAAAAGAACTTTTTATTATAAATAAATTACAAAACTCATATTGATAATTTATATTATAAAAGTCTTTATTTTAAATAAATGTTAAACCTTGTAGACTTTATAAATTTTTTTTTTGCCTATATAGTTCGACTGTACTGAAAAATAACAATTCGCACTATTTACGGGAAAATATAGGAAATGAGAATATGTTATATTTAGTAATTTTATTTTAAATGTCGATCGCATTATTTAAGAAGAAAAAAATTTTAGTTGCGTTCTCTATTTTTTAAATAAAAATTTCAGCAAAGAATTAATATTCAAAGTTAATAAAGGGTAAAGTTCATTATTGAATTAAATTTAGCTCTGAATTATACTTATTATTTTAAATGAAATGCAATGTATTAAAAAAATTGAATTATTATCATCATTTTAAATCATTATGTAATCAACTTCGGAATATAAAAGAGGTTGTTTAATAAGTTGATTAAAATATTGGCCCAACATAAATGATCGACTGTAATACGTATTTACAATATCCATGTCACTTTGTGTTAAAGACTTGATTCTACGAGAGGAGTAAAGAAGCTTTGCTTTTTGAGTAAATCCTTTTTTGTTGAATAATTCATTTTTTGCACGTCTTTTTTTTTTTAAGAAAGAATATTAGAGGGTAGGGTCACCTTCGAATTGTATAATTACGCAAATAAAATTGATTAGAAAAAGGAAAGCCTATCCCTAGAATTGTAGAAAGAAAATGCCAAGAATTTTTTATCTTCTCAATAGTTAGGATATTCTCCCGCAGTGCCAAAGGTATTTATACGTTATTTTAAATTCCTTAATAATTCTTTATACATTAGTTTTTTAAAAATTATAAAAAATAAATCATTATAAAACATATGGAATTTTGATATGGAATCATTAAATATGTTAAATGTCATTATTAATATTTTAAATAAAATTACCTAGCGAATACTATGAAAAAGATCCAAATTGATTCTCAGCTACCCTTATTAGCTTTCATTATCTCTGACATATAATGAAATCAATTCAAGAAACTGGTCTGCCATGGGCAACATAGCTCTTTTCTATGGAAAGGCTATGTGAAATATTAATATACTTAATCTGTTCTCAGCAGCATCCATATACAAACCTTATAAATCAGATAACTATGTGGACACAATTTGCACACTTGCAATACTTTGCTGAATTAATTTAAATTATAAAAAGAAATTTTAGGTAATTATTGAACACATTCAAAAATATGGAAAACTGTGAACTAAATCGGGATTATTAATTAGCTCAAAATTTGCTAACCGCAAAGGAGACATTGCTCAAAACAACTATTCAATTGCTGTAAGAAATTTTTATTTAAATATTATACTTTTTTGAAAATTTTGCTAAATATCTTGATATTATATAAGCATAGCTTTTAGTTGATAAAAATGCGCATTTACCAAAAGCTCCTGTTGATTTTGAGGAGCACGAGTTTTATGGTCAAACTTTATTTTATTTTGTGCAATGTATTTAATAATGAGTTATCAATGCTTGTCTTTATACATTGGATAAGAAATCCAGAGAAATTAGGCAATCGCATACTATTTTTTTATTGGTGAAATAGGTGTGATTAATGTAACCGCAATTAACGTTAATTGCTGTGTGGGATTTCTTAAAGTGGCAACAAATAAGCATATTATAATTGATAGAGAAAATCGGGTTACATTTAGATAAGAATTGAGGTCATAATTAGAATTCAATTATTAAATTTACAGATCATAATCAGAATTTTTTCAAATTAAAGGATCATTTTCTAGAAAATTATCTATTTTATTATATATTTAAATTTTGGCTAAAATATTATTTCAAATGCAATCGGAATATATCAAAAAAGCATTTTTATAGGATACACTCTGGAATTTCTTATTTTTTTATTCAAATCACATTAACAGTGATTAAAAAATAATAATTCATTATAATTCAAACATATTTGACACAAAAATCAAGTGTTAATTTGGTACATTCTTGAGTATAATACTTTTTTAGGTATTATACCAAATATAATGAACGTGACACAAAAATTCTTTGATCCTTAGTTGTATTATAAGAACTTGTGTTATTTGTAATTGTGTTTTTGTTGATCATCACGCATAATAATAATTTCAAAATAGCCGATTTACATCCGGTGCAGAGACGATGATTTCCGGCTTTAAGCAAAAAAGCCGCAGATTTTGCCGAATGTTATACTAAAAGCAGAAATTGAAAAATAGTTAGCAGATTTTCGCAGATTTTAAAAGATATTGTGTGTCACACACATTATATCGACCAATTAAAATTGGTCAGATCGAAAAAATTTATCAATAAATTTTTTTTTTTGAATTAACCGTTTTACGGTTAATGATTAATAAAGAATGGTTCGTAAAGTAACTATTTATACTCATGTGGCTGAATATTCTAATGATTTTAGAGTTGATGATAGTTTTTTACTTTGCATATATTGTAACCATTCTGTTAAGTGGGAAAAAAAATCAAGTATTAAAGATCATATTTAAGGTGTTACGCATTGTGCAAAAAAAAGAGAATATGAAAACAAAGAAAAAACCAATGGAAATTTTTTACAACAGAGGACAATTGCCTCAACTATTTTAAATGCTAATAGCAAAAAAGAATTAATAGAAGATTTAATTCATGCTTTTGCTGTTGCTAACATACCCTTAGAAAAAGTGAATTCCCTTCTTCCTTTTTTTCAAAAACATATAAAACAAGAAGAGTTTATTCCTCAAGCACCCACTTTACGTCAAATATACTTACCTCAAGTTTTTGAAAAACATTTGGATCAAATTAAAC